TAGAGAAAGGACAGCCAGGGTGCTCACTCCTTAGCGGCATGGATGGTGCTCTTTTTGTCTAACATCCGTGGATATACTGTCGGGAGAGACCAGTCATTGGAAGAAGACGTCATAATGGGAAAGGTAGAGGGTCAGAGCGATAGGAAGGAGGCCCTCAACAAAATGGGTCAGCACGGTGACTGCAATAATGAACCTGAACACAGTGGAGATTGTGGGCTGCTTTCTGTGTTCAGAGCTTCACTGTGTGTACTTGTTGACACTATGGCACCTGTCAGTAATTACTGAGTGTTTTTTGTGCATAGCATTCTGTTCACTGGGTTAAATACTGGAATGAAAAAATAATGCTTTGTAGAAACTAATTTTGCTTAGAAAGACAAAATCATTTACTAAACAGCATTTGTAACCACTGTCCCAACTTCTCTTTACTGGATTTCCTCTAGATGATAACATAATTATGATAAAAACAAAAGGGGGGAAATATGGGAAGCCAATACTAAATATTTGTAACAAACTGAATGCTATTTAAATTTTTAAAAAAATGCTAATGAAAAAAAAAAACCACAACTTTAACATTTTCTAAGAGAATATATCAAGACACTAGTATTACAAACATTCTCCCACCCCCCCTTTGCAATTTGAGGATTGAATTTCTCTTTTAGTTCTTTCAGTGTGAGAAATGCCAAGTGAGTTCTTCCCTTTTTGTTTTCCAACTCTCTTTGCACATTTCATTTCCTTTGTCTTCTTGAGCCGCCTTTTGACATCTGTTCATCTCTTTTATTTTAGTGTCTCTTCCCTTTGTTTTGATCTTTCAGTTTTCTAGTGCAATTTTAAGAGTCTCTTTTGGCATAGATTTTTGTCTTTCTCCCTGGTCTTTGTAATGACCTTAGATTTTTCAAGGAAGATTACATCCCCACAGCTCATCCTTGTCTTCTATCATTAGTGTTCAGTGCCTCAAACCAGTTCTTGAGATGATTTTTAAATTCAGGTGGGATAGACCCATGTCTTATTTTGGTTCCTGTGGGCTTGTTTTTATTTTCTTCAGCTTCAATTGAACTTGTACATGAGTAGTTGAGGTCTATTCCATAGTCAGTACTTGGCCTGGTTTTGACTGCTGATATTCAACTTCTCCAGGAAGCAACAAAGTAATAAGGAGAAATACACAGCCACTGTACTAAAAAGAATTGTTCGCATGGAAATCTTTCAACGTGATCAACAGCTCTTGGTGATGAGGGAAGAAGTTGAAGCTGCACTGAAGGCATTGGCAAAAGATAAGGCCGCAGGATTCAGTGTGATACTGATGGACGTGTTTCAGTTAATGAATCCAGCCTGGGTGTGCTCACTCCTCTGTGCCAGGATATTTGTAAGACAGCTGCCTGGTCACCTAACTAGAAGAGATCTGTGTTTGTTCCCAGTCCCAAGAAAAGTAATCCAGCAGAATGTGACAGGTATCACACAGCATCACTGATACTCCATGCAAGCAAAATATTGAAGATCATTCAAAAACACCTAGAAAAGTACATTGACAGAGAACTGCCAGAAGCTCAAATGGGATTTGGAGGGGCCATGGCACCTGGGATGTCATTACTGGTGTCAGATAGGTCTTCACTGAAAGTGGAGAACACCAGGAGAATGTCTTTATTTTTTTTATTTTTTATTTTTTATTATTTTTGTGTGCGTGTACCGTCAAATCAGATCTGACTGGTACAGGAGGAGATTGCCCCTCCTTCCCCGTCAGAACATCTGGTGGATTCGAACTGTGCACCTCTGGGATTGTAGTTGCAGCTTCTTGCCACTAGGCCACCAGAGCTCCCCTAGGAGAATGTCTTTATTGACTGCAAAGTCATTTGACATGGATCATTGCAATCTAAGAGTGACCTTGAGAACCATGGGTCTTGCAGACAATCTTAATATGAAACCTGAATCTAAACCAAGAATCTGTTCTCCAAACAGAGCAAGGGAACACTGTATGGTTTAAAATCAAGAATGATGTATGTCACGGTTATATCTTTTCTCCATACCTATTCAGTTATACTGAGCAAAGTGAGAAACCGGACATTATTTATAAGAAAGTTGTATCAGGATTAGAGGAAGACTCATCAACAACTTGCATTATGCAGATGACATAACCTTGCTTGCTGAAAGCGAAGAGGACTTGGAACACTTGTTGCAGAAGATCTGGGACGCCAGCCTTCAATATGGATTGCATCTCAACAAGAAGACCAAACTCCCCATCACTAGACCACTAAGCAGCATCATGATAGATGGAGAAAGATTGAAGTTGTCAGCGATTTCATCTTACTTGGATCCACAATCCACACCCTTGGTACCAGCGGCCGGGAGATCAGGAGATTTAATAGATAGGGCAGATCTGCATTCAGAGACCTCTCCGGGTTCTTGCTGAGCAGTGATGGCAGTTTGAGGACGAGAGTGCACCTGGTCAGACCATGGTCTTTTCAGTCACTTGTTCTGTGTCCGAGAGCTGAACAGAGTAAGGATGACAGAAGAATTATTGATGCCGTTGAGTGGTGTTGGAGAAGAGTACTGAATAGTCCATGGATGTTTAAAAGAACAGATGTCTTTGAGAAAGTGCAGCCAGAGTGCTCCTTGGAGGCAAAGGTGATGAAGCTGCATGTCACATAATTTGGGCCTGTTACTGGGAGAGACTGTTCCTTGGAGAGGGACACAGTACTTGGAATGGCAGAGGGTCAGCAAATGAGAGGAAGGTGGACTGACACAGTGACTGCAGCAGTGGCCTCTAGTGTGTCAGGAAGTGTGAAAATGGCACAGGATAGGACAGGGTTCAGATCTGTTGTTCATAGGGTCACTATGGGTCGTATTTGACGACACCTAACAACATTAATCCCTGGTAACCACTAATGAACTCGTCTATATGGATTTGCCGGTTTTAAGTATCTTGTATGTGTGGATCAGACAATATCTGTTATTATATCTGGCTTATTTCACTCAGCATAATATTTTCATCATTTGAGCTGTGATGAAGTATGTGTCAAAACTCCATTCCTCTTTATAGCTGAACATACCATTGCATGTTTATGCCACTGTGTTAGTTACACAGTGTTGCTCTAGGAAAATAACATGAGTGGGTAGCTGTAAAGAACAGCAGTTTGTTTTCTTACAGTCCAGGAGGCTAAGGAGGAAATCCAAGTCCCAGGTATGTGGGTCCTTCCTTGTTGGTGGCCCCAGGAGTCCACTGGTCCTCGGTTTCTTGACTTGTGAGTGGTCTTCATGTGGCATCTGCCTGTCTCTCGTGTTTGTCTGAGTCTACTTTAACCTTTTTGTAACTCAGAAACGATGGTCTTTTAAGATCTGGCTTATCTGTTGGTAGACACTTATTTGAGATATTCCAGCCTTCTGTCTTGTGTGCCTAAAACAGCTGAGAACGTTGGTCTCCTTGAGTCCCTGCTTTCAGAATAGTTTTTTCCCAATTTCTTCTCACTGCTCCAACTATACTTTCCTGTAATACTTGCATATTTTCAAACCAGTACAAAATTGAGTAAAATTTTCACTTAAAAATGTTTGAAACTCTAATAGTACTTTCATTTGGTGAGACTTTAAAATGCAGCACCTGTTCGATGTAGGGAAAGACTTTGCTGTTTCAGTGGTAGAATTCTTCCTCCCGTGTGGGAGACCCCAGCTCGATCTCCACACACTGTGCCTTAATGCACCTACTGCTTATCTGTTAGTGGAAGCTCGCATGTTGCCCTGGTGCTGAATAGATTTCAGAGGAGCTTCCAGAGTGAGCGAGAGGAGGAACAGGACTGGCCGAGACATGAAAACCCCATGATCCCAGGGGCCCGATCCCATTGTATGAAGGGATCGCTGTGTGAGGGGCTGCCTTGATTTCCCCCAACAGCAGTTTTAAATAAGTGTTTCTCTTCATAGTTTGGAGGTGAGTGGTCTGGGCTCAAGTGGCAACTTTGTAAGCTTATTATTTGATGATTTGATTAATGATGATTATTTATTATTCTTTTTCTTATTGTTTGGCAGTCTTCCGGAATATTGTTCGAGATCTGCTAGCTGACTGTCACTTTCATCTTTTAGCTGTGGCGAGAGGGAAAGTATTAGTCCACCTCTAAGTCATAAGTGGCCGTGACTAGAGAGGAGTTTAGGAATCTGTTTTCTCTCAAGATAGCGATGTGATCAGGTACAGCTTTAGTCTTACAGACAACAGGGAAAGCAAACAATGGCAAACAACTCACAGTCCCATACAAAGACTGTATTCAAAATTGGATGTAAATTTCAGATTACGAGTTTTCCGAGTACATTATTTTCTCAGGAGTGGGGAAGTCAGCAACACTAATCATAAAGTTTAAATGTAATGTAAGGCTGTAACTGTGCTGTGATGCCTTTGCAGACAGGACGACCTGACGTGTGGGAGAAGGGAACGCAGCCGTGTGTCAGTACAGTGCCTCTTCCTGTAGGGAGACAGAGAGCGCCACCTCTAGTCTTTTATGTTATAATAGGCATCAGACTTTTATGGCCCTGAAACTTGGCAGGAACTTTAAGCAAAGCCCTTGGACTAGTTTGAGGGAAAGTATGTGAAATGGTTCTTAATAATTCTTCAGTGGAAGCAATTTTTATACGCAAATCTTTTGGTTTGTTTCAGTAATTTATACTTCAGAGTCATTAACATGCAAATCATCTGGCCACACCAGTGAATAGTAATGTGATAAATTTGATTATATTTATCAGAAGATGGACATCTTCATTTAAAGGCAGTTCAAGTAGCTATTTCTTTGTCATCTTAGATTTTATTTTCCTTCTTTGCTGGACTTGAAACCCCTATTTTAAAGCCATTTTTAAAAAGACTTTTCATTCTCCTGGAAGAAAACATCTTGTATTTTATTTAGGGTACCTGCAGACCAGACTGGCGTTGTAGAAGTAATGAATCGGAGGCAGATGGTTTTTTTGCTTCACCTGAATGATACCAAGGTTACCTTATTTTATAACTTAAATCCCACTGTTTGTTGTCGTCACAGGACAATGAGAAGAGAACACCGTTGCACGCTGCTGCCTATCTCGGAGATGCGGAAATCATTGAACTGCTTATTTTATCTGGTATGGTAAGCTCTGTCATAACAGCCATTATGTCCATTTTGTCCTTAATACTTATTCAAGTTACTTGACTACGCAGTACGTGAAGGAGCCCTGACTGCCTACTGTGTCAAGCTACTGACCAAAAGTCGGCAGCCGGAGTACGCTTGTTCGTCCACGGTGAAAATGGGCAGTTGTCCCCTGGAGATGCACAGCCTGGACACCCAGTGGAGGTTCGGGGGTTTCGAGGAGTCAGAACCACCGGCCATTTGCTACATGACCTTGTTCTTCATATCAGCTTCCTAAGCAGAGGCTTAATGTGTTCAGTTATTCTGAAATACTGGTGATGTATCGTGTACCAAACACTGATGGATTCTTGGAGTACATTAAGGAACACAATAGAATAGATTCCCTTGCCGTGCCTTGGGTAATTAGTGGAAATGGAAAATTAGTGCAGATACATTTTACAATATGTTGGATGGTGACGAATGCTAGGAGAAAGGATGTTGGCTGTGAGAGGACCTCTCTGTTCTTCGGGGTCTCCAGGAGGCTTCTCTGGGCTGAGGGAGGGGTGCTAGCTTGGGTGAAGCCTAGCTGGGCAGGGGGCAGCAGTCGTCTGATTGTGGCTGTGGGTAAGGCCATGTCCTCAAGGCTGTCTGCCTTCAGATATCTCTTAATCTGATAATCTTTTGGGGCCGGTACTGATTTTTTAAAAAAACAAAACAAAACACCAAACAACCAACGCAAGTGTACCCTTTTAAATGTTTCTAAGATGTTTAGAATTTAGTGTGAAGCAGAGGAACTCTGTCACTGACTAACCTTCTATGGGCATGCTGCTTCCAGTCTTACCACCGGCATTCAAACCTTAAACGTTAGGAGCGTTTAAGGTTTATTATAAGGATGTTTATTGGAAGATGTATGTGCTTGAATTAAAGTATGTGGGCAGATAGCACAGCTTTATGTGTGAATGAAACTGGAGAAATTGGTTCATTCTTTTCTGCTTTAGAATTGGAAGATGGAGACAAGAGCAGTTTTGTTTGCAGATCGTAGTAAACAGTGGACCTAGTAAAGTTAGCCGTCATAAAGCCATACAGTAATCTGCTTTCATAGCCAATTTTGAGATCGTGTATAGTTAAGTATGACTAAACGTAGCCTCATTTTCTTTCTTTAGCTCCATTATAAACAACTTTGCCGTTGATGTGATTCTAAAGATGGCCATTCTGTGTGGATGCCGGCACACTAGCTTTCAATAGAAACTCACTGGAGATAAGAGCTGAGGCAGTTTGAGAGGAAATCCTTATTTTCACTGAAAAAGCCTGTCTTGTTTTAATAATGTGATTGCTAGAGTGCAGTATTATGTTTTCTTAACACTGTCGAAGAAACAGGGTTTTTTAAGAGTTAAAGAGGTAGCTATGCTATTTGTGTCTCTCACTGACATTCCTTTAAACTGACTCGGAGCTGACTCCTGGGAGCCTCTCAGGCTGTGAATCTCATGGGCGAAAATTGCCGGTGGACTTGAGCCTCCAGAGAGGTGTGGTCTGTGCTTAGCAGTGCACCCCCCTGTCGACGGTGCCACCAGAACTGCCCGTGTCTAGCTCTCTTGTGCTTGTACTCAAAGCAGTACAGATTCCACTAACTTAGTGTGTAGAACCTTGCTAAGAATTTACTGCTGTGTTTTTAATGTCATACACAATTCTGTCCATTTACTTCCATGTTGTCAGCTCATTTTGTGTAAGTTTGCATGGAAAATATTTTTCCGTTTTAGACTTTTAAACATGTAAGAAATTTTTCATATATTCTGTTTAACTTAATCTCCTTTTCAAAAACTGAAGGTTTGTATCAATTTTTAGTTATTTATACAGTGTAAATTTGTTAGTCATCTTAACTGTGGTAGTCAGATAAACCCTATAAAGGTGCTAGAGTCACCTAATAGTTTAGAATTACTCAGCAAAGAGAATACCTGTTATCTTCTAAATAATTCAGAAATAATAAAAATTCTACAAAATAATACAAAATTGCTACAATACATATCAACATAAAGAAAACAAAAATCCTCACCAGCTATACCAGAACAGCCATGTGATAAAGTAAAGGTGAAGTTTTTCATTCGGCTAAGAGCCATAGTTTGTACCTAGGGAGGCTACAAGTCAAGAAATCAGATGACGTCAAGAGCCAAGCTGTTTTCAGGTACTTTGTATGCGTGCAGAAGCTGGGCAGTGACTAAGGAAGACCAAGAAGTAATGCCTTAGAATTAGGTAAAGAGTATTACATGTCCTGTGGTCTTCCAAAAAGCTTCCAAAATCCAGCCAGAGTGCTCCTCAGAAGTGAGGGCGACGACTTTGTTTCACACACCTTGGACTTGTGACCAGGAGGGCCAGCCTCTGGTGAAGGACACCATGCTTGGTAAAGAAGAGACACTTTGTTAGCAGGCTGAATTGGCACATACCTGGAGTGATGGACTCATTAGGCCGTGGGTCTGCAGATGGGTCAGGATCAGGCAGGATCTTCCTTTGATTCCTCAGAGGATTGCTGGAGTTGGAAGCAGCCCCGCCGTGCCTAACAACAACGTAAGATGAGCTATTGGCACTTCACTTTGTAAAATTTTTTTAAGTTGTATTTTGTCAGTTTTGTGAGTTAATGTATCTGTTATCTAGGGGACTATTTGGGGGACGAAAAAAAAATGGGTATTTTTCCAAGGAATTTTTTCACTGTGTTATAAAAGGTTCCATCACTGAGTCAGAATTGACCCTTCAACTGTGGGTTTTGTAAATTGTCATTACTTGATTGTGATTATGTGAACCCTATGCTTGGACCAAGAAGCAGTCCTCAGAACAGAGCAGGGAAACAATGCTTGGTTCAAAATCAGGAAAGGAGTGAGTCAGAGATGCATCCTGTTCTCAATACCTTTTCAATGTATATATACAGAACAGATCATTCAGGAAGCTGGGCTTTTGTTTCCTCCCACGTTGAAGCTTACGTCGTTGTTGTTGTTTTGTGCCATCGAGTGACTCATCGCAGCCATGTAGACAACAGCAGCTCTAAAACCTGCTGTATCCTGAGCCAACCTTTTTTCCCTGCCATACGTATCCCCATTACCCCAGTCACTGAGTCAGTCATTTCATAGAGGGTCGTCTTCTCCTGCGCTGTACCTCCACCTTCCCAAGCATGACGTCCTTCTCCAAGGACTGGTCCCTCCTTGTGACATGTCCAGAGTATGTCAGATGAAGCTTCAGAACCCTTGCCTCCAAGGGCAGCCTGGCTTCACCCTCTCCAGGATGAACCTGTTTGTTCTCCTAGCAGTCCATGGCATGTGCAGTAGTCTTCTCCAGCACCACAGCTCAGAGGCATCAATTCTTCTGTCATTCTTAGTCATTGTGCAGCTCTCTGATACATAAACCATGGCCTGGATCAGGCGCACCTTATCCCCAGACTGACATTGTTGCTCTTCAGTATTCTGGAGAGGTCTCTGACAGCAGATTTTGCCATTGTCATTTGTGTTTTGATTTCCTGGCTGCTGGTACCAAGAGTGTTGATTGTGGAGCCAGGCAAACCGAAGCTGTTCACAGTCTCATTGTCCTCGCTGTCTGCCATGATGCTGTCAGTCGGCCCAGTGTGAGAATGGTGGGAATCTTGGTCTTCTTGATGTTGAGCGTCGATCCTTTGTTCTTCATCGGCGGAGTAACAGCCCTTTGTAGATGCGCCCTGGACTCGTGTGGTCACAGTCAGTTGTTCAGCTTCTGTTGTTGTGTGCTGTCAAGTGGGAGCCCACCCACAGCTGACCCCCACCAGTTTTATGAGGCAGTGACTTGTGTGCGACGAGGTTGCGCATCTTTCCCCCATGGAGCAGCTGGTGGATTCGAACAGCTTGCCTTGGGATGACGTCGTAACTTTTTACCACTAAACAAGGAGGGCCGCCTTGCTATCTTGTAGCTGTCGTAGATACTGCAGTCAGCAGTGGTGTTACAGACACCAGTGTGTGTCCTTTTTCAGGGCTTTTTGACGTATACCTGATAGTGAAATTGCTGGTCATGTGGTCGTTCTTGTTTCATTGCTTGAGAAATTATCGCTCTTTCTCTAATAGCACCTGTATCCATTTTGCATTTTCCCCAACATGAAAGTTCTCATTTTTCCACATCCTTGCCAACACCTGTTATTTTCTGTTTCTGTGTCATACGTAGCCGTTCTAGTGGGAGCGGAGGTAGCATCTCAGAGTTGTTTTGATTTGTATCTCCTGGCTAACTAATGAGAAGCCCTGGTGATGCCGTGATTGAGCGTTGAGACTCATGCAGTGGCAGTCTCCTCCATAAATACTGCAATCTAGGACACCCTGTGAAGCTGATTGGCTCATGTCAGGTTGCTACACATTGGAATGGACTTGGTGGCAATAAGTTTATCATCTGAGGACGTTCAGCATCCTTTCATTGTTCTTGTTGACCATCTCTATAGTTTCTGATGAAAAAGTTGTTCAGCTCTTTTTCCCATTTTAAAATTTGGTTCCTTGTATTCTTGCAGTTAATTTTTAAGAGTTCTTTATACATTCATGATACGAAACACAGGTACATATTTCTCAGAGACTTCTTTCAGTGTAAAGGTTATCTCTTCATTTTGTTGATAAAGTCCATTTATCTACCTTGCCTTCTTGTGTTTTGTTTTTTTATAACATTCCACACTATCAGCTAGATCCCTCAGTAATGCCCCTGACTTTGTTCTAAGAACTGCAGCATTTGTGTTCTCCCGTTTGGGCCCATGCTCTGTCTTTCTTTGTGGTGTGCAGTGTGAGTCCATCTCCATTGCTTTTGCCAGTTGACGTCCAGCTCCCCCCACACTGCTTCGTTCTCTCCTGGCCCCTGAGATCCTTTAATGGCCCAGCTCGAAGTCGGGACCACAACACCAACTCACAAGATAGTTCTTCAGTTGCCGATTTTTCCTGTTACCTATTTAAGTTCAGTGTTGATTGGAATAGTTTCTAGAATATATATTTGAAATCTAACACGTTGCCGCAAATGACGGCAAAAAAAAATGTG